ATAGCATGACTCAATATAACACAATATTAACATTATACAAATGTATGCATATTTATGCCATTTTTATATAGTGGTTAATGACAGTGCAGAATAGTGGCGGGGGGGGGGGGTGAGTGGCAAGGCGGTCTGAGAATGTGACAATCCGATGATGTGGTAGTCTTATAAAGCGGTGATACCTATGATTATGCTTCCCCAGAGTCGGGTTTTTTTATTCTAATTTTGTCTTCTAAACTAACTGCACTAGGCAACACTATATTTTCACACAGCAGTTTTAAAGACTGCGGCAGCCATTACGCTTATACGCCACTATGGTGGCTGATTTAGTTATAAAATTTATCTGTAATCCAGGATGGAATGAAAAATTGTAAGCAATAAAATTGTAGTGGTTATAAAAAGTAAAACCAATCGGGCAATAAATTCGAGTTTTCTGTTAATAGTAACTAGTAGTTAATGCTATTTTTTTTTCTGTATGTAAAATGCTGCTACAGCATAGGCGCAATTTCAACTTTTGACTTGGGTGGACTGAATATATTAAAGGTAAGCAGACCATTGCAATATAGCATATTAAAATTGTATGTCCTAGGTTTTTTTGGGGGAGGGGGCTATGGCTAAGTTTGGGGGGTTAGCACCCTCCCAAAATTTGCGCCTATACATTGTATGAAAAAATAAAAATAAAATTGTTTTGAATTTCCGAAAGATTGTGACCGGTAAGTATGAAACCCATCAATCACGAAATGTTTTCAATTTTAATGATTAGATATTTTGCAATTCTAATAAAAGAACATTGAAATCAAATGTCACACCAAAAATGTTTGGTTCGTATAATATTAAGGTCTGGTGGGGTAAGTGAATGCCAAATTTAGGTAAGTTCAACTTTAACTGATTAATGCATTAACATTTTTATGTTTATGTGTTATGGCCTTTGTATAATAGATTATATCTATTTTATAAAATACAATGAATATAAATCTGCTCTCAAAATGTTTTTTTTTTTTTTTTTTTAAATTCAAAATTATGCACTCGCTACGGTGGACGCCCCCTCGTGTCTCACGCGGAAAATAATCAACTAACTAGTATTATATAATATTGTACTATTAACACCATCGTTTTTATTTTGTATAAATTTACATAATTTAGTAAAACTTTTAAGTTTGTGTATTATTGAAAATTCTTTATGTAATTGTGTGTAGTAAAATATTTTAATATTTTAACGTAAATCATGTTACTATAGTGAAAATTTACATAAATAGAATGCAAATAAAAAAGTGTGACTTCTTCGATTTTAGTATGTCTTATTCATATTGATATATTTTTATTTTATCAAGACATCTACATTTCACATTTTCACACTCGACACTCTACCATCAAATGTATATTTTATTTCGTTGTCGACTTAAACAATTGTTATTTATTTACAGTACTTTTTTAGTGCACATCGTTAATGTATTGAACTACTTTTCTGTGTGTTATGACTGTATATATGTTTATCGCATTGCCACAATTTGTGTAAAAAAAAATGCCAATAGAACCGTATATAATCCATTATCCAATCAAATAAGACTGCAATAGTTTTAAATAATATTAATATTATATTATTTATATTTCTAGTTGGTGCATTGGTGAGGTCCAAATTTAAAATTACCAGTAATTTTCAAAAATTAAGATAAAAAAAAAAATACCTACATAGATGAGTTATTTCATAAACGATTTATAGTTGGTAACACATAGTTAGGGGGGGCTACAATAGTCCGGAAAGTAAAAATACGGAACGTACAATCCCGGAATTTAATATCCCGGACCGTAATATTCCGGAAAGTAAAATTCCGGAATGTAAAATCCCGGACCGTAACTTACCGGAAAGTAAATTTCCGGAATGTAATACCACGGAACGTAATATTACGGAATTTAAGACCCCGGAAAGTAATATTACGGAATTTAAAAGCCCGTAACGGTAAAAGTCCGGAAACTAAATAATCCGGAACGTAAAACTACGGAACATAATAATCCGGAATGTAAAATCACGGATCGTAATATTCCGGAATGGAAAATCACGGAACGTAATAATCCGGAATGTAAATATCCGGAGTTTAGTATGATTCAATGGTACCAATCAATTCATTTTCGGATATTGGACGTATACAATAATAATTAAGAATATGGTGTACCTACCATGTACATACTTTAAAGTTTAAGTCTTTAAGACTAAAACTTTGAAAATAATTTAACTTGAAATAAGGTTAGAAATACATTACAGGATCAGTAGCGCACAGAGGTATTTTGAGAGCAAATACAGTTAAAAAGTTACCACCTACCCATGTTTTTTTAATTTAAAAAAAATATCCTCACGGAAATAAATTATTATAAACTATAATGTATAATATTATAAATTTGTAAGTTCACCCGTGATACCAGTTATTTACACCCACCACCCTCGAGAGTACACCCAGTTGCAGTATTTTGTAACCTTTCTGGGTGCCCCTGCCTAAGATGCACAATGGTTATGTGGAAGAGTAGTCCCCTACCTCTGACGGCAGTTAAAAAGCGTCCCCTTTTAACAAATTATTCCTTTAACTATGCCGGGTTAAAAATGGGATGAGTATGCTTACGCAATCACTGTACAGAGTTGATAGTGGTTTAAGTTTAACCAATTAATATTAGAGTGTAAAAATAAAAGCTAAATACAACTTTATAAATACAAATGTATCTAAAAATGTCCAACCAGTACTCTGATTATTAACCTCACCTAACTTCATACGTAGGTATGTACCTACTTGTGATTAATTATTCAGTAGGTACCTAAACTTGAGGTCCGGACCACCCCCCCCCACTTAAACACACACACGCCACACGATGATAATTTAAATTTATTCAAATTAAGATTTACTATTTTTTTGAACTCGTTTAATTAATTTTGTCATCCGAACACAATTTCTATAAATGTCGATAAAAACATTAATTATTCTCAGTAATAATCATCTTGAAAATATAATACGAGATTCCTCTTAAGTTTTACTTAACGCAATTAAATAAAAAATTTACAAAATTCACGAAAATTTGAAAATTGTTTGTTGTAAAAGAGACATACCATTTTTTAAATTCTTGCCTAAGATTTGAAAACGTAACACAAGGTTCCTCATAAGTTTTATTTTTTCAATTTCTATTCTACCCACCGTACGGTATTACTTGGTAAAAGTCAAATAATTTACTTTGATAGATAATCAAATCTGTTTCTGTTATAATATTTATGTTAGGAGACCCCCAACCTCCTTCTCATCTCAAGATTGCTTAAAGAGAGGGGGTAATCAACTCTTATAGTATACACTGTAAGTTTAAACTGTTATATATTATTAGCTTTGTTGAATAATGAATTGAAATAAAAAAATTAAATAGGCCAGAGCAATATAAATATATCATACAATAAGTAATATAGTCAAACACACTGTCTTCGCTCAGAATTGCTTTTCGTTTGCAATGATTTATCATTGAATTCAAATTTATCAAATAGGTGATAGGTAGGTAACCAATGGTACCGTACATTACAGACTTACTAAATTAAAATTTACACTCGTATAGGTACGTATAACTGTACAGGCGTTGCTTACTGTTTGTCTTTTTAAGTATCTTAGAAATAAAGAGCAAGTGGGTACCATTCTACTGTACATTAGGTGTCTTGAGGGGGTCACTGTAATGGATAGATATGTTAAATTTGATTTCAATGATAATATGATATTATATAATGATTGAATAATAGAAACGATTCTGTGCGAAAACAGTTAATACTTAATATGCAGCCTGTAATAAATTACAAACCATATTTTATGATATTATTGCTATTAAAGTAATGTATTTTGCATTATCAATACAGTAGGCTAAATTAATTTTTGCCAAAATATTTTAAAATATCATTGTGTGTATAAAATATATTAATATGTTATAAAAGTTTCAATTACCGCCTAATATTTTTAAATCAGAACAAATTATTCTTCCCTTAAATATCTAATTTCATCCAAATTTTAACTTATATTCTATAAAAAAAGTGTATATGTATATATTTTTAAGATTTTTTGGTTACAGTATGAACCATTAATGAGAAACTAATGAGTTTTACATTTTCAATCCTTAACTAAAAAAATTGAACATTTTATACATTTTTAGCAACATAATAATTTACAACTTTTTGAGATTAATATGTATGGACAACATTGTCATGTTAGATTTTTGACATGATCATTTGGGTTGTTTCAACCGAATAAAATAATAATTATAAACCAGTCAAAAGCTGTAACATGTTTGATCTCATAACGCCAGTTTGACCATTCTTTTAATAATACACAATATCCAAATATCCAAATACAATTATTATAATTATATTTTATTAATTACGTTTATTCAATAATGAATAATGATAACCTAATATTAAAAATCTATTTTAAGATAATTTTACAAATTTTTACCATCAATAAAAATAAATAATTTTATTATTGAACTTTAGAAAATGGATAAAACAAAGCTTATTAAAATGTATTCCTTGTTTGTTGATAATATTTCCACCGAGAAGTTATACTCACTTTCAGAGTGTTTATTTATGTGTTTCAAATCTGATTAAAAAAATTGTTTTTCTTGGGTCCCAATATAGATAGTTACGATTTAAATATTAACGATAAAGCTGATTTGTGTCTACTGTAATCAGTGATTAAGGAATATCATCAATTTATTCAATAAGTGTATTTTTCCTAACTTGACGTCCAATGTATGCCTATGGTTCTGGGTTATGTTGGTAACTATATAAAATATAACTAATAATATATTCGTAGTTATATATAATAGAAGTAATGAATAATGTTAGTTAAGCTTATTTATTACAATTTAGTTTGTTAATCAAATTATTGAATTACAAAATATATAATATTATATTCTTAGATTATAATACAAATTAACATATGTGCAAATGGTATGCCATTAGTAAGTAATACAAAAAAAATTTAAAAATATTATTATGCTTAATTAATAAAAATTCTCTGAAATCTTTCAACATCAGCCCGGCACATTGGACAGCGTATAAGGTATTCATTATTTAACCTGTCCTTACAAATTCCACAAACCCAAGCATGGCCACATGGTATCACTATAAATTGACTGGTATTTTCCCCAGGCATAGTCACCAAACAAATCATACACGGTGTTCCATTTACAGCATGTTGAGCAGTCTCCTCCTCAACAACTTCTTCAGCATTTTCATCAATTTCATTAACATCATTCACAATATTGTCACCATCTGGCTGATTCTGATCACCCATTCCAAGAGCCCATAATCGCTGCCTTTGTTCATAAGACGAACAAGCATATGTGCATTTTACTAAAAAGTTCCAGACACTTATAACACCAGCATCAAGTTGTTCGGATGCTATCTTTATTCGTCTTGAATTTATTAAATACTTGGACTTTAAATTTCTGGTTGGCTGGAGACCATTAGCCAACTGCGAATGCGCTCTATGGTAATTTTTGTTAAGCTTACACAATTCACCTAAAAGTATAAATAAAACAATATTTAATAAATTATTATTATTAATTTTCATAAATTAGGTAGTATGGAGTTATAGTGAATTCACATTACAAAAAGTTTATCTCTCCATAACAAAATTAAAAAATGAATCGATTAAAGATACTAATAATAGGTACGAGAAAAAAATAATACTAATAATATCGTATATAATATTATCATTGTTATAAAATTATAAAATTTGGTATTAGGCATAACTCATAAACTTATAAATTACTAGACCTGATTAAAAAAGCCTAAGATAAAAAAATTAATAAAATATTGTTATCAGAGTGCTGTTATTATTGATGCAGTTATAAATCTGCCATGAAACTATTATGATCAGATTTTATCCATTAAATGGACTGAAAAAAATTCAGCAGCCGGTGAATTGGAGTAGGGGTGATTAATGTTTTGGTATTGCTTGTATGGTGGGGGGGGGGAACAGCAATACTGTATCAAGTAGGTACTACCTATATTCATTACATGAACTGAATTATGAATACCTAACCTATATATTCAGTTCAATATAAATAACATAAACTTACCAAGAAAAACCCATAGATTTGGGTGTGTAACAGAAAATGTACATCTTAATGAATTGTGAAAACTCTCTACATTATTGTTTGTCCTTCTTGGCAACCCATTTACCGACACTATGTTTGTTCCAACGCTCCGCAACCAATATCTAAAAACAAAACAATTATATTATTAATACAAATAATAATATTTATTCTAATAGTTACCTTTGGTAGTAGTTAAAAAAATCATTCATTTGCACATTATGATTAGTAGCAAATAATTTAATAAGTTGAAATCCTTGTTCCATTTTGTCAGCTGGCAAAAGTGGTAAGCACATTAACATTTTAAGGCATTTTAATGCATGATCATTACTATTTATAGTATGTAGATGGTTCATAGCTTTCATTTTTTTCCAAACAGCCTACACATAAGAAAGTAAAATATAAGCAAAGAAGATAATATTTGAAAAAATATATAGGTACTGCCACTGAACTGTAAACAATTTGTAACTTACAATGCAATTGTCACACCCACATAGTGGAATCACTTATTTCATGAACTGGATATCCAGACAGTGAAATTTGTCCAGATCGAGAACTTTGTCGAAAATACATTATATGGACATCATTCTATTGCATGAAATGTACAATACCTATATTGTGTACTTTATGTAATTATTATAAAACAAATTTATTTTGTTATTTAGCAATAAATTATATTATACTATGATAATAAATTAAACTTTTCTATATTATTGTTGTATGAAATAGTGGTCATTGGAACATATTATGTATCATGTAACGCACTTAATAATTTCACATTATCTACATGGATTGTCCTAACATGAAATTATTTTATTTTATCAAAAAAGTCTTTGTAACTTACTAAATATCATATGAACTACATACACAATAGTACCTGCGTTACATACATAACACACGAGCAGAATAGTTTATTATGATATAATATAATTTATTGCTAAATAACATAAAAACATTTGTTTTATAATAATTACACAAGGTAAACCATGTAGGTATCTATTGTCCATTTCATGAAATGGAATGATTTAACTATGTGGATGTGACATATATAATTCATTGTAAAGTCCCCTTATTGAAGGTTGCCGTTTTGAGATTTCATTAGCTATATCTTTGAGGAAATCATATCAATAAAAAATTTAATTATTCTCAATAATTTGGAAAAATTAGCGTTTCATATTTACAGTTCAGTGGATACTCCTCAATACCAAATAGGTACTTACTTAGGTTACCTTAGTTTAGGTAAATAATTGTTTTACTAGAAATCAATAACGGGCTAAGTGCCAAAAAGTTGTTTTTGAGTTATTCAATTTTTGCCCGTTATAACCACACCACAGCTCTCACGACATTTGTTTGGGCTTTGTTCACCAATATTATGGTCGTGGCACATAGCCCTCTTTATAGGTTGTTGGCGATGGCACATAGCTCGGTTTTTCGAGTCTAACTCAATTTTTTTTATTTTGGCACTTAGCCCATTATTGATTTCTAGTCTTCTATTACCTATTAGTAAAGATACAATATACAAATATATTATTTATGGGGTCAAGTGGGGTAAATGGAAATTGGAGTAAAAGGAAAAAAATTTTATTTAAAATTAATTAATAGTGATTATGGAATTTAGTATCATGAAGAATACCTATTTATTTGATTAATTAAATTGTATTTTATGTAATTTGTACAAATTTTAATTTGTCCCCAGGTAATAATTGTCAATTATACTTTTATTTTCATTTACCCCACACAGTATTTGGGGCAAATGGAAATTTGTAGGTTTTGAACATATGAAATAATATAATGATTGCTGTAACAGAACTATTAAATTTACCCCTTATGTGAGTTCAGTACAACACGTCTTGCAGTTGGAAATAGTTATTTTCATTTCCTTCAAAAGTATGGGGTTAATGTAAATTTTTTATGTAATTTCGAATAATTTTTCTATATTAAAATAATCAACTATTTTTACTTTTGATCGAAATGTTTGTGTATGGTTAAATAGTTTTTATTTTAACCAAAATTAAAAATTAATTTTCAGTGAAAATTTATTTTTTTTTTAATATTATTTTTTTTTGTCCATTTGCCCCACTTGACCTATAAGATAAAGACCTATAATAAATTCCTTACCTGGTTGTGATGAAACCAGCATCCTACAACTCTTGTATTTTCAGTACCCAGAGATAATAATGTATCTCTTAATGCAATCTCATAATCAGTTATGATTGTTTCCGGTACAAGTTGTGGAAACAAATTAGTCTTCATAAAACTAATAACACATTGATATGAATTTCTGGATTTGGCTTCCATTAAAGCATATGCTATTGGAATAGACTAAAAAACATAAATGTAATAGCCTAATAACATAACAATTTTTAAAGTAAAAAATATTATTAAATTAAAGAAAATAACTTACGAAATTTCCAATCATACAATGGATGCTAAGAAGCTGATTACCCATGTTCACCGGTACAACTTTAAAGGTAGCATCAGCATGGACCTCTATTATATTATTTTCCAATACTATTTGTATGAGCTGCCGGCAGGCTAATATTAAGTTTTGTTTTCCTAGTCATAAATTAATAATAAATATTATTTTAATTAAAGAATTCAATTTCACATTTTATTTATAGGTTAATAGAATAAAAGTCTGTATGTCCCAGCAATTCTCCAACACTAAACCAATTTAACTAATTTTTGTTGGATTTTTTATGGGTCATTTTAAGTACCTAACTCATTTGACATATTAGAGTTCATAAAAAAATTTATATTTTATATAGGTATTAACACATTTAAAATTTAAAATGTATAAAAAGTATATAGTACTGATATGGTGATATAGATGTACTAATAAAACATTTTTTAATTTAATATAGACATAATTACCATCACTATCGGTGACACAGCCCTGAAAAATATCTGAATTGCAGCACTGAAACCTGTGTAGTTCACCATTTTCAAATTTGTTAGCCAACTCTTGCAGTGACTGTGGAAGACTTGGTAACGAATTCCTTCTAAAGGTACGCATGGTACTGTCAGCAGTTGGCCATGGATACAATGCAGCAGCAATAGGGTGTCTGTAACAGCACAAAATTATGATTGGATAAAATTTATAGGACACAATAGGCACCGATAATGGTAACTTAATGGCTAAATACCTTAGGCTGTTACATTCATATTTATTTTGATTACCTACCTTTCAGATTCATCATCGTATATTGATTTTAAAGAAATATTTTCGTTCATAGCTCGTTCCTTCAATTTATTTCTGAATATTTTTACCAAGTTCTGATTATCATTATTGGATCTTCCATGGGTAGTATGTGCTTTTAATTCCACAATTGAACCATCCACATTCTTCTTTGCTGTGCCGGGGCAAAAGAAATTGTTGGATTTGGCACATTTATAATAGCTGCAAATACCAAATAATTTGATTAGACAAAATAATATATTAAATACAATAAACTTAATAGGTAGGTACCTAACACAGTGATTTTTTATTTTTAGTCAGTGGAATACCTACTGGCTACTGCGGTGGGTACTAATAAGATTATCTAGATTATGAAACTAATTAATTTTGGTTTTATGAATACAATTTGTAAAATAATAGGTATAGTATTAAAATTAAAATGTATTTTAGGTACATATTAAAATTTTTTACTTACGTAATTCCTTTACTTTTTCCGTTATTATCATAAATAAATCCTTGATGTTCCATGGTCTGTTTAAAAAGTATGTAGGTAGTACAAATATGTAATAAAACAAAGTAATATAACAAATAACAATAAATAGGCACTGTATCATCCGTGTATAGATGGGTAGTAAATAACAGTACGCGCTCGATCGGAGTATTCGGTTCGAATGATTGAATAATATTATTATTATAATCTGTTAACGACTGTGCGAATAAAAATAAATACCATTTATGATTGAATATTATTGGGTTAGGTTAGTGTTATTGTAGAAATACTGGGAAAAAAGTAACATTGTACACTGTACAGTTAAAAATAGGTTTCTTATCGTATCGTCCTGTCATCCTGATCCGTTCGGTGACCGCCGAGTGCCGACCGGTGTTCACACACCAGACTTCACCTAAATTGCACGCACTCGCAAGTCACAATTATAAATGTATTGTAATATTCTAAAAACACTAAATTACGAAACGTTTTCATTAATACGACTGAAATATTATGTTCGTTTTCCCTGCAGCGTCTAGGCAATGGAACAGAATGGCAACCGTAGCCGTCACTCTGCGTCAAACGCAATAAAATATCCGACTATAGGAGTTGCGTCTACACTATTTTCTTTTAAAATAAATATAAAAGAATCATAGAGTATCAATGACACTAAAAAAAATAATTAATTCAACACCTTAATAAAAACAATTATTTATTAATTATTTGTAAGTTTAATTCTTCCATAAAGCGTACACAATATAGTTATCAATATCGAATATCTACATCGATCGGATTCTTCGATTATGTATCAATGTTGTAACTTATTGTCTTGTTACTTGTAACTAATGAATAAAAACAAATATTTTTACTTTTTTTCAAGTACATAGGTAATTTGTTCAAATTTTAGATTGTGAGCGGAGCAATGAATTTATTAAGCAATGAATGTATTGATCTTACAATGATGTGTGTTTTTTTTTGTGTCGTCACCTTTTGTGATAGTAAAAATCTTTTAATTTTCCTCAATAGCACCTTTTCCGGTAGAACAGTGAATCTAGTTGGTACTTCGGGGCGATTAAAAATAAAATTCCTAATAGTTTACAAAAGTATTAGAAAAAACAAACAAAAAATTAAGGAAAAACTGAGATTATTATTTTTTAGACACCAGTTTTCGAAATAATTGAATTTTATTTTTTGTTTGACTAAAAAAAATAACCGATAATAATATATGAAATTTGCATTGAATGTCTAATATTGTTATAAGTATTGTGTTTATATAAACAATGTTTATGCCCCATACAATTTTTTAAATATTGTGAGTCTTATTGCGCTATTTGCCTATTTATTAGGTTTATTTTAACTATTGTCGATACAACATTTTCGGTTGCAGGTCAAAATACTTGAAAATGAAATACAATGTTCCTCATAAGTGATTTCTAATTATAATAGCATTTGATAAATATAAATGATCCATAGGCACGATTTTTAATTAAAATTTAAAGTTTGAAAAAATCTCAAAAATTATTAACTATTATAATTTTATATAATTTTATTAAAAAATAAGAATACCTACCTAATAAAGCATATTATAATCTTCTAATATATAAAAATCTCGTGTCACAGCGGTAGGCTGGGATTATACATAGCGATGGCGTATTCGCAGTGTACCTATTCCGTCGAATTAAAAATGCATTGATTTATATGCGTAATACGCGAGTTTTAAAAAACGCAAGCCGAAAAAACTCCTCCGTAACGACTAACGGCTGACCGATTTTAATGAAATGTTGAGAAATAATTTCCTAGTAGAAATTAGTTTTTATTTATTATTGGTTGCCCTTGGTTATTTGGGCAGAAGGTCCATGTCCCCAGCACCCCCCATTGCGATTTTCGGGTCCAAGCCCGGGGCGCTCGTTTGTGCTTCGTTAGTGCTTTTTATCCCGTCGTTAGTGCTTTATCCGATCCAAAGTTATTCACATTTCGTAGAGGGGGCGCTGGAGACATTCCTGGCCCCCATTTCGAATTTCGGGCCCAAACAAATTTTATTCGTTTGTGCTTCATTAGTGCACGTAAGTGCTTCTTATCCCGTCGTTAGTGATCCATCCCTTAAAATTGTATTTGAATTTCCTACAGGAGGGTGCTAAGGACATGCTAATTTAGATTTGGAATTTTGGGTCCAAAAATCTTTTATTCGTTTATGCTTCGTTAGTCCTTCACTGTGTTATTCATCCGGTCTTTAGTGCTCTACTCCTTCAAAAGTTATTGGCATATCGTACTGGGGGGGGGGTACTAGTGACGTACTAATTCGAGTCCAGCCCCCAAAGTTTTGTCTTGAAAAATAATATTAATGATAACATTGAGTATAATCACGATTAAAGATAGAATGGTTGCACAACGAACTATGATAAGAAACAATTTAATGATGCTCATAGTTTCTTTTATTATCAACGATACTCTAGAAACTTTTACTAGCGCTCATAGGGTATAAATTATGTACTACGCATCAGAAATCAAGATTCTTCTGTAATAATATGCACATTTATTTTCCCGCGAAAATGCAAAAAAAGTACATACACGATTAAAAATACGATATTTTCAACGATTTTTACATTCGTGATTACATGGTACATACTACCTATGTAATTTTAATTGTAAAGTTTGGTTTAAAGTCACATCCTAATAAAAATTTATTTCTCATTCTGAGAAGTTTAGAGTTAAGTTTTGTGAAACATGCTGGCTCTATTGATGTGTTTAATGAAACATTGTCATATTTTCTAAGTACTAATAATCCTTTGACATTTGAATGTTACGTGCACCAAACTGATATTCTCACAGATATATGTAGCACATTTGTTATAATGAGAATGAGACAGTATACATATTATATTAAAAAACTAAATAAAACTAAAAAAAAATTATCAAAACTCGTAGGTAGTTAACTTAAATTATAATTTACACTGAAAGGGAAGTATATATATTATACTTTATTTAATCATCAAAAATATATTATTAATATTGTTTAAATATAATTATTATTTATTAAAAAATAAAAATTATGTAATGTACCCAACAACACAATATTATAATTTATAAAATATAAATTTATTATTTGTTATTCCGTATTTTATTTTTTATAACGTAAATTCATGACACGATTAAAAATAGTATATTATCAATTATTATTCAATATTTAAACGCTAGGAGCGCTAATGCTCGGTTCTGCTAGTCGTTGTGATAACAAGGAAACTCTGAGAAACACTTTATTATAGGTCGTTGTGCAACCATACTATCTTTAATCGTGAGTATAATATATTGTTGTACAATATAGGTACGTATACTCAATGATAAGTGCCGGCACTAGTGGAGGATAAATGGGACATATGTCCAGTGCCCCTCGCTTTCTAACGAGCCCCGTGATTTTTAATATCATCTTAATACCGTGAAACACATTGACATTTTATATTAACAAATTATAAATCTATACATTTGTTGTACTATACTGCACATGTATAATATATTAATATTAATATTATTTCTATCATTAATTATTTGGAAAATGATATCTAAATTTAGCCATAGTACAAAGTAAATCGTTATCGATACGACGAAGGAGTAATATTTTGACGATACTCGAGGACTGTAAGACTGTACTACTAAGAGTAATGACTAATGAGTAACCTAACCATAATTATAATTATTATAAATATTTATTATCTTTATAGTTATTGTTTTTCTGTTCTTTGTTTGGAAATGCTTTCCGCGTATTGTCGTATGACCGTATTATAGAAGCGGCAAGAGCTATATTCTTAAAATATTTATTTGATTATCTAATATTATGTGTTCCACATTTGAGTATTTGACTGCAGTCCGCTTTGCCCCTTAGAGTATTTTTTCAACAATTTCTGCATAATATCATAAAAGTAAGTTTTCATTTTATGAAATTATTATTACAATTCAGTTTAGATACAGTATAGCAGTATTAAATAATAATATGTACCTACTGCTTGCGTATCTAGTGTATCAGGATTAGTTTTAACATATTTTATTGTCTAACACCGAGTACTTAGATATTAAACAATTTATTATATCATTCAAACATTTTGATGATTTCATTTATTTTTAATTGATATTTTGTAATTATTAAAATAAATATAAATCAATAAAATAATAAGCCCCCCACGAATTTATTAAATTATAATTTTCAACACATATATATTATTTTATTATTTGTAAATAATTTTTTGTTAATACATTTTAATAAAAAAAAAAGGGGATATGAATAATCTGATATTATTATTTTTAATGTTTAAAATTCAAATAAAAATAGCATTAATTTAAAAAAAGCTAGAATCTTGCCCTCTATTACTTATGTCCAGGGCCCAGCAATACCTAGCGAAGGCATTGACAATGATGATAGGTATAATGGTACAAACATTTTTTTTTTTAAGTCCGGGAGAAAATTTAATATTTTTTACGTACCTACCTATTTAGTGTATGATAATATATATATCTACCCAAAATATTTATGTTTGCCTATAACAACTACCTATACCTACATCATTGCAGTTAATGATTATAAATTAGATAGGAAGGTATAGATGTATAAAGTATAAAACCTGTATAAAAATCGATTTAAGAAATAATAATCATGATTTAAAATAGCTAAAAAAACATTTGTATGTTCACAGTCTATTTTTTTTCACGACGGTAATTTCACAACGTTCAAGGCAGGATGTCCCGCTTGAACACAATTATTTTACCGCGGTGAAAATCACGGGGAGATTTCACACTCGTTGTCCACCTATTCGCCGCTCACACAAAAATATTTACCGTATAGCATTTTACGGGGAGATTTCACACTCGTTGTCCACCTATTCGCGCCTCACACAAAAATATTTACCGTATAGCATTTTACAGGGAGATTTCACAATTTTTGTCCTCGAATTCTTCGTTTCAGAAAAATATTTACTGTATTTTAAAGTTACAGGGAGTTTGCACACTCAAAATCGGTTTTACCACTTACTCAAAAATATTTACCGTGTACACACTAAATGTTTTTTTCCCCAACAAACTTTATTATTAAAATGAAAAAATTATTTAAAGTACAGAACACAAATTATGTAATAATAAGTTTTTTTTATTGATATAAATGAATTCTTAAATATATTTACACAAGTTTTTTTACTTAAATTATTCAAAAATTGTGAAATCTCACTGTAAAATGCTATACGGTAAATATTTTTGTGTGAGGCGCGAATAGGTGGACAACGAGTGTGAAATCTCCCCGTAAAATGCTATATGGTAAATATTTTTGTGTGAGGCGCGAATAGGTGGACAACGAGTGTGAAATCTCCCCGTGATTTTCACCGCGGTAAAATAATTGTGTTCAAGCGGGACATCCTGCCTTGAACGTTGTGAAATTACCGTCCTGAAAAAATATAGACTGTGAACATACAAATGTTTTTTTTAGCTATTTTAAATCACGATTATTATTTCTTAAATCGATTTTTATACAGGTTTTATACTTTATACATCTATACCTTCCTATCTAATTTATAATCATTAACTGCAATGATGTAGGTATAGGTAGTTGTTATAGGCAAACAAAAGAATTATAAAATTCGTAAACGGTAGTGTTTTGGTAAGGGGTATAGGTATATTATAGGTACATATAGATAGGTACCGGTACTTACGTAGTTTTTTGAGAATTTTTAAAATTAGATACTCAGTTTTATCGATCAGGTGTCTACGATATTTTTAAATATCGGTAAATCATTTCCGCATGGACAAATTAAAGTTATATACTTATTTAGTTATATCTATTAAATATTTTGGCAGAAATTATTATAAGTATGAAATTTTAATAGCATTCTTTTTTACATAATATATAAAATTCAGATTTAACTAATTTAATCCCAAAACTATGAGATTTAACTGCAATGCATCAAAGGATCATTTTTACCTCAATGTGTTGAAGAGTTTTAGACAAAACTTTGGGGACTGGTTGCCATTAGTTAATCGGGCAGATCAGGCGGAAGCATGTATCAAATGCAAATCAATTTTTCGCACATTTCCTACTTAATATGCTATCGCACATTGTCCTACCAGGGAGGCTGAAGAGGTACCCAAAATGAGTTGAACAATCCCAATTTTTTTTTACAGTTGTAATTTTTTACGGGATACGAAGAGCGCGATATCAGCTATAGTAGTATATAATATTGTAAGTTTTAAATGTAATATATAGAATATACTAGTTGATGCTGATGGCTGATAGCGGATGCCCGTGCACTTGGTAACAAGTCCGTAAAAAATGACAACTCTTAAAAAAATTATAAATAAATAAAGACTAATTTCTACTAGGTATGTAATTATTTCTCTTATAATCAATAGCAACCATTTATGAATAAAAATGTTCACCAAAAACCCCAAAATCTCCGTTTAAACTTTAAGCATCTCCCCGGGTGGTAATAGGAGGGTGAAAAATACTTTAAGACCTATCAAATATACAAAAATGTCATCGAGTATCCGACTAAGTAGAGCAGTTACGGAGGAGTTCGTACACTAACACCGTGACACGATATTTTTTATATATTAGAAGAAGATTTAAGTTGATTTACTAGAAAATTAATTTTTTGAATGTGGATGCCTTTAATATTTTTGATGATATACCTATCTAAAAAATTTGAAAAAGTGATAAATACAAATCAATATATTTTAATATTATCATGCACAATATTATCACATGAAAATCATTGTGGTGGTATTGGGCGTGGAAGTTTAGGAATCACTGATTCTTTTCCGGCATATTACGTTCCGGGATTTTACATTCCGGAATTTTACGTTCCGGAATATTACGGTCCGGGAAATTAAATTCTGGGATCGTGCGTTCCGGATTATTACGTTCCGTGGTTTTACATTCCGGATTATTACGATCCGAGATTGTACGTTCCGGATTATTACGTTCCGTGTTTTTACTTTCCGGATTATTTATTTTCCGGACTTCAACCATTCCGGGTTCTTACATTCCGTAATATTACGATCATGGATTTTACATTCCGGATTATTACGTTCCGTGATTTTACGTTCCGGAATTTTAATTTTCCGTGATTTTATCATTCCGGACGTTTATTTTCCGGACAATTACGGCCTACCATAGTTAGGAGGATTTTTTGACGATGGAGATAGCATTTTTAAGGTATTTCATAAACGATTTTTTGTATTTTATAGTAGGTAACATACAGGATTATTTATTTATTATTTTTCATTCTGTGCAGATTGCACATTTTAGAATTTATCTATAAAAAGCTAATTTTTTTCTGCACCCAGGGATACCAAAACTTTCAAAATCATAAATTTGGCACATAGAAGATTTTTTCGTGTCAACAACATTAAATTGAATAACTTTTCAAGTGCCATCATAAAAATTCTAAAAAATTTCCATGAAACTGGGTAAAGGACTCGGCGAGCGTATTATCTATATCGTGGTTTTAAAATAAAATAGTTCTCCAACACTATCGCGGGTAATACATTATTATTTTTATATTTATACTCAATTTATTATTCCAACAACTATTATAGTTATCTATATAAGTATATACTATATTCTTTATAGTTTATAGTACCTATAATTTATTTATCTCTGTGTGACTGTGTATAGAATATATTACGATTATTAATTGTAGGTATTGATTAAATAATTAGTATTAATCACGTCATTATTTAGTCACATTTCAAAAATTATTTTGTGTTTATTAAATACCAAATTGAAATTATCTTTGTTTTATAATATAACATTATATTAGATTTTACAGCTCGTGATATTTTCGTCTTTCATCAATATTATAATTTATTATAAGTAATAATAAGTAATAACATTATCTAGACTGGACAAAGTAATAAAACTACAGTTATTTATAATAAGTGTGAGGTAATTTTTGACGACTCCAAGTAACAAATCTGTCTAGATTAAACTGTAAAATTAAAGTATCTTGTCAAAATTCGAACTTTAAAAAAAAAATTGTGACTATGTATTTATAATATTTTTCAACTGATATGGTAACAACATATAAAAAGCCTTGCATTAAATTTTCAAGCTTTTTTACCCAACAAATACAATTTTATTGAAATTCATAGAAAAAAAAAAAACTAAAAAAATTGGAAACTGAAAATGTCCATTAACAGTTGAAAACTAATACATATATTTTGAAAATTTTATCGTGTATAGAAAAGGTGAACATAAACAACCAGTAAAAATTGCATGTATCATTTACTTTAGAGTTACACCAAAAACCAAAATCCATTTTGCTTAAAAATTCCAGTTTTTCTGTTTTTTTCCGACACTTTTTAAAACTATTGACCTCCCAAATGCACCAACTACATTCACTTTCCCATCGAATAACATACTGAAGTTAAAAATCGAAGCATTGTTTCGACTACTTATCGTGTACACAGACACAAATAAAAAAAAAAATGCAATAAACAAATGTTTGGTTGCGTAACAAATTATTTCAGAACTAAATAGATTTTTTTTGTACTTAAAGGTAATTTCAAATACTTACTTTATTTTAAAAGTATTTAAGTAATTACTTAAATACTTTTTATAAGTATTTTTACAACACTGTTAGTCACTGTCTATACACATATTTGCGGGCGCTGGCAGTCGGTACTCACTATACCTACTCAGAATAGTCAGTGACAGTATTCGATAAGTCGCGTTGCGTATAGGTCGTTGCTCGTGCACCATACGATATTGATAATATTATTATGGCACGCCGTAGTGCCAAAGGTCAACCTCAGTGTAAAAAACGAATGGTGAACACGACTGCAGCCCGATTGTTGGGCATATCCTAAGAGATGGAGACGAAGGCACGAGACGATCTCCGAAAGTTGGAAATGGACATGCATCAAGCCAACATATTGCACATGGGCATGGTAGATCGCCTCGAACAACTTGGCGATAAGTTACGAAAAACAAATGACGCTGCCCAAATACTACAAATCAAGATTATAAGTACCTACAGCCAACGAAATCGAGAAGAGTAAAAACGAACAGAACGATGAGCTGCTCGCGGATCGACGAAAAATTAGAAAAACAAACGACTTATTACGAATATTGCAGTCGTTTACTGGACAGCGACCAGGAAAACAGCTCGCTGTGGGACGGAGAGCCCGATTTATTTGGAGAAATACGAAGATATGGACAAACTGAATTATTGTCAGCATTTGTTGTGCTTTAAATGTCTAATGCCCTTGTTCGAAACTTCGCACTCGTGTCCGCTGTCCCGGAGCGAAATAATTGGGTACGACACTTTCGACCGTAAGCTCCTGCGTGGCTGCGTACCGAGTACGTGACGATAAGTCAACATCGCTCGGGCACTTCAAACTTCACCAGTAGCAGTTAGGTTTGACCGGAAAGTATGCCACAACCTTCGGCTGTGTGACACAGCTGCTATGTACACAACTGATGCGAAACGACATGCGGATTCCACGGTCGGCGTAATAATGGATGATGGCTGGTGAAGTGACTTAAACCATTTTTATTTTTAAACTCGTCAGTCGTCGAGCTAAACATAGAGTAGAAAAATGTGAGTTGGGCTTAAAGTCATAAGTCACTTTTTTCTCTTTGCAAAATTTTAATAGTTACAAGTTAACTGGAAAACAAGAGTACCTAACTCAATTTGGTTTAAAACCGGTTATTTTTTTTCACATAAAATTTATAATTATACCTTTTTTTTAAATACTATACAACATAGTAATTTAATACAATTCTAATAGTTTAAAAAAAAAATTATGATGTACATATTAAAATCGATTGATGAAGTAAGTAATTTAAACAATGACGAAATCCAACAGAATAATTACATTATTTGTATGTATTTGTTTACCTAGTCCACGACTATACTAAATTATAATAACGAAATTTATTATTGGAATTAATTAGAAAATACCTACACATATAGTATACAATGTTATTCAATTCATATTTTGTAATTCTAAGAGCGAATAAATATAATAATATAATAATACCTAAGTAATAAATATTAATTATTATTAATTATTAATGAGTATTTAAACGTGTGTGGGATACTGAGCAAATATTTATATTTTTGTGTTTTTTTAGTGATGCAGTTACCTCTGTAAATTGTTCGTATATAATTTTATATTTAATACATTATGTGAATAGGTGACACTGTGATAGCATAACCAATGATTATAAATTATTATTTATTATATCATATAATATTTTTTTTAAATAATATTATTTTGATATTTTCGATTGTTTTTTTTTTTATTTTATAAAATTAATCTATACAAATAGAATATATTTTAAATCTGTAGTTTTAAGGAAAAAACTCAACTTAACGTGACAATAAATTACTTCATATCATGGAAAAAATGTAATTCGTTATATAACTCAACTTTTAACTTAAGAGTGTGCAATAATAAAAGTGTTACGTATACAACGCTCCAGAGATGGCGTTGTGCCCCGTATCGCCGCGGTCGCGGCTGGGCGTAACCACGCCCATTATCTCCGTGTCGAGACCTACACGGCGTACTCGCGAGAGAAGCGCATTATTATTTTCCGAATAGTCTAGTTGAGCGGGTCCATACAATATTGACATTGACCATAATGACCATGAAGTTAGCCCCCCACCTTGTTGGATTCAATTCAAACCAGGGCCAATATTTAGCAAATCAATTGCAAATAATTGCAAATTGGATTTTAGAATTTGCAAATTTAGTGCACGCTCGCAAACTAAAAAAATGATTTGGGGGGGGCTAACTTCATGCAGCCCCCCACTTTGTCCGATCCGTTCCAAACCAACGCCAATATTTAGCAAATTAATTGCAAATTGGTTTTTAGAATTTGCAAATCAAAATTGTATTTTCCGTGCTTTATTTTTGCAACTAATTTTTTTTTCCATAGAATTGTGTTTTATATTCCATCATATTTTTTTTTATTCTACTTAGTTTTTAATACACATAGATTAAAATAGAAATATAGAATAAGATTTTTTATCAAGTATAGATTTTTTTATAAATATTAATTTACTTTTTTATGAAATACTAGCTGATCCCGTGCACTTCTTTGCCCATTAAATATACCAACGCTATAAAATTAATAACATGTTTTTTTGTATAATATAACGGTGACTGTAACAACAATTTGAAACTAATTATTATTATTATTATAGCTTTGAAACCCACGGCAACCATATACCATGTATAAACAAAAATTTCCATCGGAAATCTCAAAATCCCTGTTTGAGCACGTCCCGGTGTTGGTCCTCTCCCTTTTTAAATTAGCCTATCTTCTGCTCAGAGGTCTAATCTATCTATATATATATATAAAAATATTTGATCCCGTGCACTACGTTGAAATTGACAACTCTATATGAATAATATGTTATACATATCACCATGGCAATCATTTATATACAAAACATTCCATCGAAAATTTCAAAATAATATTTAATTGGTTGCCATGGTAATATGGAGACACTCACAGACGGAAATCTCAAAATAATATATATATATATTGTTGCTATGGTAATATGGACAAACACAACACACACACACACACACACACACACACACACACACGGACATACATTCATTAAGCTAGGGTTCAGTACGGTAAAACGGAAGCCTATTACTAAGGCTCCGCTGTGCTTCCGTCTGTCTGTCACCAGGCTGTATCTCATGAACCATGAAAGTTAGAAAGTTGAAATTTTCACAGATTATGTATTTCCGTGGATGCTATAACAACAAATACTAAAAATCCTTTTTTTTTTTTTTTTTATTGGAGTTAATTCGGGGACGGAAGAGGAACCGCGTTAGCATTACTTCTCCTCAATACTAAAAAGGTGCTCTGCTGTACAGTAGAGGGCCCCCGAAATAAACATACAACTAGGCCTACAGGGAAAATACCTTTTTCCCTAGGGGCCTATCCACCCCTGACGACAGCCATTAAAAAGTATCGAATATGGGTAGGTAGATATAATCTAA